TGCCTTTTATCATCAGCATTACACTTGCCACCAGCATTTGTCAAATGCTTCTCTACATCACATAGATGGAAGAGAAACATCACAAAAACAATCCCTGTTGATCCCCCAGGGATGGATTTTCCAAGTGAGCATCACTCCACACTGGTGCTGCTCCATGTGGGAGCACTCTGAGTCATGACACCAAGGTAGTCGAGTGGTCACACACCCCCTGCTCCTGGCAGGACAAAACTTTCTGCGCCATTTCAGAGATGTTCCTTGTCCAGAATAAATTGCTCACATAGTGAAATATTGACTGAAGAGAAACTTCACTTACAGGCAGAGCTGCAGACTTGATTTTCACTGTTAGTTCTGGTCCCTCTGCTCTGCTTTTGTCATGTTACTTCACATTCCAGCTCTCTCCTTCTGAGCACAGATTGGATTTTTCCTGCCATTTTCTGGAAATTGCAGAAGAGTAACACCAACTGGGGAGAGGAAGCTGAAACCAAGCCTTTATCCAAGTCCCCATTTAATAAAATGGCACAGCCATGAGGCAGGAGGATGTCCCAGGCAGCCACCTGAGCTTCCACAAAACATGAGCAGTGGTCTTTTACAATCCCTTGTAGTCCAAAATTTAGCCTGAAATTTCATAGAACCTTTTAGTATCTTCCTCCCGAAGAGTCTTAGTGAGTAAATTCTGAAAAAACCCCAGACACAGACATGTTCAGTTTCACCCAAGAAGGCAAGAGATGCTGTTTCAAATTGTGACTGCGATTCAAACAGATCATCCTCTGTGCTCTGCTTTCCACTCCTACCTGTGTCAATTTACTTGATTTATCATCAAAAGATCAATCAGTTGATCCTGCCTATTTTCTCTGTGTTTAATTACTCATGCTATTATGTTTCTATTTGTTTAAGGTACTGGGAGGTGAGAAGCACCCTGGCTGGGAAGACCATGTACTTCTACCCAAATCCCCCTTCATGTCTGATGCCTCAGGCTTCTATGATCTCCCTTCTTCTTTCATTTGAGCTCTGAAAAGCAATGGCCAACTTGGTTTGGACCTTCTCAAGTCTATCATCACCACTAAGAAGTAGAACTACTAGTGAGAAAAAGGAAATAAAGCACCTTAATCCCCACCCTTTTATCTCATCCAGAGCTTTTTAAAGCAAAACTACAAACCCATGGGATACTTCTGAGAACTAAAGCTGAGTTGTGATTCCCAATGGACCTTAAGTTCTATTTTTACAGATGATGCAACGTCACAGAGAAGTGTGGAAGGGCATCATGGGGCTTGATGGTCCTGTTGTATTTTGTTCTTGTCACTCTTCCCCCTCCCTCCTTGAAGATCCCTGTGCTGCAGGCCCAGGAGGAGGATTTTTTTGGGAAGATGGGATGAAACTGGCCAAGGCCTGAGCGTGGCATCAAAGAACTGAAGGCAGGAATGGCACCAAGTGAGACACATATTAAGGCAGCATCACAAATAGAACAAGTGTGCTAAAAAAGACAGGAAAATACTCTAGAATTTGTGAGAACATATGGGAGTTAGATGTGCTCAGAAAAGCTGAAAATGGCTTCAGCTGCACCAGCACTGGTCTCACCACCAATCAAACAGATCCCAAATCACAGAGCAGGTTTATACAAACCTCATCTCTGTGTGGCTTTTCTTTTTACATAGCAACGGAGGAAACTGAGAAACTGGAGCTGACAATAATCAGTGCTAAAACCTGCAAAGGAACTGGCCAGAGAGCAGCACTGGGAGTGAGCAGCGGGGGGAGAAGCCACACTGGGAACTACAAAGGCCCCACTCCTGCAGGGTCCGGGCTGCAGCAGAGGGGAGCAAAGCAAAGCTTTTTGTCCCTCTGAGCTCCTCCTCTTCAATGCACCAAGCTGAAGGGAACTGAATGGGGAAGCGTCACAGTGAGAATTCCTGAGAAATTCCATCTCTGGGAGAAAAAAATTCCCCGTGCTGTTTCTTAAAATATTTCCATACTTTGTTTCATTCTTGTACTGCAATTTTATAAGGAAGAAATCTAGATTTTGCAGAGCTCTTTGGCTTAATTCTCCGCCCTCTGATGGAGAGGGTAGGGAACACAGGCATTCCATATATATGCTCTTCATGCTGGGATTTTAAAACATCCTGTTTTGTGACAGCAAAGCAGCTGCAGGCAGAAGGTGTGTGCTCCTGCACATCAGCAAGCATTAGCCTACAAAACCTACTCCAGCCCCTTTAAAACTGGGTGTTATTTTGCACTTGAGTCCAAGGCAAGAACTGAAAGCACACAGTAATTTGGAGGTGTGAGTGAGTGCGTTGGGTTACTGGCTCAGACCCTGCAGGTCTGAGTGCTTTACTCAGGCTTTGCTTTTCATTAATTCTGGCTTAGCCCTGGGAATAGAAAATACCTTTTCCCTGCAGCCCTGCCTGTGCTGTGCCTTCCCTGTTCATGATGCTGATCATCCCCTCTGTTCCCAAAATAGCTTCCAAACCTCCTATTTCAGAAGGTGGTAACTCCTATCCTCATCAGACTTTTTTCTTTTTCTTTTTCTCCTGACTGTAAACCACACAATTTCTCTTTGCTTCCCTTGCTGGACCCACAGCCCATACCCCAAAGCCTTTCTGAGCAATGTGAAGTTCCATGCTGACATGGAAATTCCCAATTCTGCTCAATTATATGGACTGGAGAGGCACAGAAGCCTCCTTGAGAGGTGAGCAGGAAGGTTTCCCTTCTAGGTATGAGCAGAGCTCCAGCCAGTGTTCAAGAGGACTAAAAAAATGTCAAGATTTCATACTAAAACTCACCTTTCCCAAGATGATTTCCACAGGAATCATCCATTTAAGAACAACAGATGCTGCGGATATGAAAAGCCACAGACCTTTTTAGGGAGTGAGCAAAATGGACGCTGTGTGCCAAGAGACAGCAGGAAAGGATCAAAGAGTTCCAGCTTTCAGTGTCTCTTCACACAGATGGACCTGGGAGCAGCAGAGGACACTGTCCCACTCCTAGATCCACCTCCCACACGGTGGATCTCTACACAGTATTACATGGATATTCTAAATATATTCTGCCACTCACAAGAAAGTGCTGCAGTTATAAAAGCAGCACCTTAGCCTTGAGGAACAATGGCAAGAGGCCTTGTACTCCTGGGTTTTCAGGTATCCGGTTTTGATTTGCATCTAGAGCCTTTTAGTGATGTGTGGAATGGTATTCTGGATCTAGGAAGGCCCACTAACATCCTCAGAAGTCTGCAGCACAGAGCAGCACCATTGTGTAAGACAATAGGTGAATTTGACTTTGTACAGCAGAAATTAAAATACAGGCACATCTTCAAATAACAAAACACAGGCCCTTACCCATGATAAACAGTGAGGAGTTTAAAATTGATGAGTCTTCAGTTTCTCAAGCAGCTTTCAGAATGTTTAATTTGTTCTACCTGCAAAAATTCATTCCTTCTGACCTGAGCAGACACCACTTCCTTTTCTCAGCATGACTGGTTACATGACATGCTCTTCCCAGAGATAACTACTGGCTTTATTTTTATTGGAAATGATGGATGCAGCAACTGATAAGTAAAAAAGGGCAATCTAGCCATGGAGTGTTGCAGCATTTGTCATACAAGGACAGCAAATTATTTACATTATCTTGAAAAGTTAATTTTTAGTGAGCGTCCTGGGAAGGCACCAGCCTAAGAGGGACTGGTTCCAGCTGTAGGACCAACAAAACTGCACTGCTAATACTTGTCTTAAAAAATATATTGCTGAAGAACTTGCTTATTGGCTAGCACAGGCAAAAAGTGAGGAGTACACAGAAGTGGGGAGGAGAGCAGAATGGAAGGAGAGGAGCAGGATGCTGTTGGTGTTTTATCATACCAGGTTATTGAGTTGAATGCCATGGTAGGTGAGCTCTCAGTGTTAACAGAAAGGTGATGAGCCTCCAGCAGCCTCAGAAGGCACCTCTGTCCAGTGTCCAGGGGATATTAACTTCCTCCTGGACCCTGAGTGAACGAGTGAGTGAGGCACAGTAGCTGTTCTTCCTGCTTCGATCCTGCTTCATTACAAGTCCTTCCCCAGCCTGCAGGCAACTCACTGAAGTCAGAGCACATAATTTGATTTGTCAGCTTTATCAATGCCCAAGAGCTCCAGAGAGCATCACCTTCAACATCCCAGAGGTTTCTCACCCTGCACGTGTTTGACATGCATAAAGAAATAGGAGACATGGGTTGTTACACAGCAATCAGTCAATGAAATGAGCATGATAACAACACTGTGCTAGTGACTGTGCACTTGGACAGAGATCAGACAGGGTGTGGGGTCTTCCTCACTGGAGATATTCCAGAATTGTCTGGACACAACCCAGTGCCATGCACTCTGAGATCAGCCTGCTGGAGCAGGGAATTTGGACCTGAGTTTGTGATCCTTCCAACTTGACCTATTTGGTGAATCTGTGAACGCTAACTGACCAACTACATCACTGCAGTACAAACCTGGGGCCAGCAATGCTCCCACCCAGCACTGAATCTGTCCTGACAAGAAAATGAGGCAGATTGTGATTTGGTGGCATCCATCCATCCATCCATCCATCCATCCATCCATCCATCCATCCATCCATCCATCCATCCATCCATCCATCCATCCATCCATCCATCCATTCCATTCCATTCCATTCCATTCCATCCCATCCCATCCCATCCCATCCCATCCCATCCCATCCCATCCCTCCATTCCCCACAGCCCGCTCGGAGCAATCCACGCCCGCCTCGGCCCTCAGGGAGGTGGCTCGGGCAGGGGCGGAGCGGAGTCCGTCCCGCCCCGGCGGGGCCTCGGGAACGGGCGGCGCTTCCGGGGCGAGCGGTGGTGCCTGCCCTGAGCCGGCGGAGACCCGCGGTCGCTGCCTGTCCCCTCCCGTCCCCGGGCGGCGCCTCCGCCGGGGCAGCAGCGGCCGGGCCGGGCGGGGGCTCGGGGCGCGCAGGCGGCGGCGCGGGCAGCCCGGAGGGGCCTCCGGAGCCGCGGCGGGCGGGAGCGGGAGCGGGAGCAGCGCGGCCGCCGCCATGGACGAGCCGGACACGGAGCCGCCGCTCGTGGTGCGGGATGGGCGGGCAGGGCAAGGCCAGGGGCTGCGGGCGGTGCGGGGCTGCGGGCGGTGCGGGGCTGCGGGCGGTGCGGGGCAGGGACGCCGCTGACGGACACCGTGCCCCCACAGGTGGTGCCGGGCGCGGACCCGTCGGCCCGGCAGCTCTGCTTCGCCTGGGGCCCCGCGGAGGTGCTGGTGTGCGAGACCCTGTTCGGCCGCGCAGGTAGGTTCCGCTCCCCGCGCCTGTCCGCTCCCCATGCCCGTCCCGCTCCCCATGCCCGTCCCGCTCCCCATGCCCGTCCCGCTCCCCATGCCCATCCAGCTCTCATGCCCATCCCGCTCCCCACGCCTGTCCGCTCCCCATGCCCATCCCGATTCTGGGTTGAGGACAGCGCGGGCGCTACTGCCCGGGCGCTGACGGGCTCTGTTGCAGGTACCGGGGATGGAGCACCGAGTTCCTCCCGCGTCTTCGTGGTCCGCAGGGACCAGGACATTTACATCCACACCCTGCGGAAACTCTTCAACGAGTCGCACGGGATTTTCATGGGACTGCAGCGGAGTGAGGAGGAACTGGCGGGGAAGTCGCGGAAGGCGCAGTGAGTGGATGGGGAGAGTGGGAGGCAGCGGCTGCCCCTTCTCCAGCCGGGGGCCAGCGCCACGGGCTGCTAAACGCCTCCGGTGAGGCAAGTGCCGTTGGCCAGGCTGCTTTTACCAGCTCTGGAATCAGCAGTGGGGCAGGTAGAATGACCGTTTTGGGGGGATTTTACAAATCAAGGCTCGGATCCTTCCAATAACTACGCTGGTAGAGTGTGGCACAGTCACTGATTCCAGATGGATCCACCCAGGTACTGGGAGTTGCTACCGCAGAGAAACTTGCAAGGCTGTAAGGGACATAACACTAAAACTCCAACAGCTCCCTCCAACCAAAGTCTTTTTGTGTTTGGCAGATTGGTTCAAGTGAGTAAAAACTACCGGTCAGTGATAAGAGCCTGCATGGAGGACATGCACCAGGCAGCTGGTAAGTCTGTTTGTTTGTTCTCTTACTGCAGGGAAAGGAAACACCGGTTGCAATTATGAAAGTAGGATTGTAATGGTAACTTATTGCAACTGCTGTACAATAGCATGTGTAGGTTTCAGTAATTACCAGGACTTTGTTTCCATGCTGGAGATTTCCAAGTTGGTTTGTAAATCTGGTCACGGACTGGTTTTTTCCCACTATGTTGTAACTGATTTTCTGGGGACTTGCAGCCTTTTCGTATCTCATGTGGCAGATATATGGAAAACTATCGAAGCTCAGAAGCAACTCTCAAATGTAAATATGTTCCTCTTTGACTTTCCTTGTTTTTCCCTCAGTTTCAACCCGGGACCCTGCCCTGCAAGGCCAGTACAGCACTCAGGTAAGTCCTGTCAGGTTGAATGTGGATTACTGGCTGGTGAATTCACTAGGCCACCACTGTGGCATCAGGCACTTCAGATTTAACTCTGCCTTGTGTATAAAATAAAGTTCATGACCAAGAATAAATGGAAATAAATAGTTAATTCCTGTACTTCTCAAACAATAAAGATGCCCAACACCTCAATTTGCTGCCATGTCGTAAACACATTTGCTGTTGTAGATGTTATGTTTTCTTGTCATCCCAAAGCTGACAAGAACAGTTTCAGAAAGAAACAGACTTGCTGTGTGGTGTTTCACCTCTCAAACTCTAAGATTCCAATCAGCTGCATCTGAGCCTCTATTCACTGTGTTCACAGTGAGCTGTCAGATCCACGGGAGTGTTCTGGGAGGAGCAGAGTGCTCACACCAGTTTTGTCCTAGCAGCTATAGTGATGTTGCTTCATTGGGTGCTCTTTCTTCCTTTGATGTTTGTATTGAGTCTTAAAAGTGCAGAAAGGCTGAAAATAAGACCAGTTAGGTTGCTCACTGGTGACAGATTATTGCTGCATTTCATTACACAGTGTTAGTGTTTTCTGCCCAAAAAAAGTGTGAAATTTTGGTATGTGTCTTTTAATTTTTATGTCTGAACTGTCAGTATGATATTTCTCTGTAAGAACTGATTGCTGTGGACAGCAGATGCCTTTGTGTGGTTAAAAAACCCAACTGGAATAATGACTAGCTCTGAAACTTGGCCCTGCTTTCCTTCAGGTTTCCATTCTCTCTGCAATGGAGCTGATCTGGAACCTGTGTGAGATTCTGTTTGTGGAAGCAGCTACAGGTGAGCCATGAACTATCCTCGTGTAAAGACTGATGGGGGTTTGTTCTTTGCATATTTATTTGTTTAAAATGTATATCATATTCACTGTGTCATAGTTTGATGTTTTAGAGATATGCAGAGTGTCAATAAGCCTTTTAATACCCCTTCTGCCTCAGTTAATTGTCTTGTTTATATTGAATTATGTCAAGCAATTCAATTTGCCTTCTACTTTTCTTCCTCACTCTGATGTAAATTGTTTCTTTGTCAGAAAGATTATAAAGAGAAGGGATATCAAAAGTTGGTGCCAATCTATTTTATTTATAAGCTTAAACATCTCTTTAAACATCAAATGTGTCGATGCCAGTTGACATTTACACAGCTCTGATACAACTCCTTTAGGTTGCCATTTTTGAAGTCAGTCTGTTTACATTGGCATTTTAAAGTAGAAAATAATTTTTGAAGGAAATAATATTATGCAAACAAATGTGCTACTTACACAGTCCCAGAATTCAGAAGAGATTCACAAATTACGGATTACTTAACCTAAATTAATCACCTAGTGCCAAATTTCTTCCTCATATTCAGTTAGTAATAACGAAACGATGCTAAAATAAACAGAAATATTCTGTTTGTCTCTTGGCATTACATGATTTTTGATCCGGATCACTCACTTTTTATTTTTTCCAAGTTTGGGTTTTCTACTGGACCGTGTTGCCCCAGGAAAACCTTCCAGAGGCTGGGTGCTCCCAGGGCCTCTTTGCTTAAGGAACTCTGTAATTTGGGGGTGGCAGGTAGAAATCCAGTCAGTAAATCTCATCTAGTGATATCAAACTGTGACGAAATGTGTGAGAGCAGTTTGGGAACAACCCCTGGGAACTGACAGAGGGAAATCTGTCTGCACAGCTGGGCCCCTCCTGCTGCGCCTCCTGGACTGGGTGCGGCTCCATGTGTGTGACGTGGACAGCATGGTCCGGGAAGTTCTGAGCAGTGAGAGTCCATCCAAACACAAGCTCTTCTGGAACGTGGTGAGTATCACCACCTGGAAGATTCTTAAACAACAGGAATTCGTGTCTGTGCTTTCCTTCCTCTTCCTTGCTGGACACAATGCCTCATTGCTGTCTGCCTGTGTAGGCTTTAGGATGAAGCCATTCTCATTCCCATCTTCATCCTTCATGGCCCATAGAGGTCAAGCCTTACACTGTTACTTGAATTAGCAGTGCCTACAGTTTAAACATTTTAACTCCACTTCCCTTGCCTGAATTACAGGTTAAAATGCCCCTATGATCCCTTTCCTGGGCACTCCATAATCCTGCCCAGTGTGGAGCTCATGGACAGGGGGTTTTTGCAGGTGGATGTCTTTGTGCTCCAAGGCCGGATGGATGAAGCACGGCACCTGCTCTCCAAGGAAGCCAGTGCCAATCCCGCATCCATGAACATGTACAAAATCTTGGATGACTTGATGAAGAAGATGCCTGTGCCCAGTGTATGTACAAAGTGTGTTTTTTCATGTAGTTTGTTGGGAAAAGCCACCTGGTTGTGTCCCCTGTAACAGTTTGTTAGAACATCTCTTACTCCTTTACAGTAACAATATTTGTGTTCTTGAATTGCCCAAAGACCCAACAATTCAGATAAAAGTCTGTTGGGTGGCACATCAACACAGAAAGATGACAGGCAGCCTCATGTTTAGCTTTTTATCAGGAGTGATTGTACATTTGGCCCAAAAGCCTAGTGTGATTTGACTTGGTGTTTCCTTTATTTCATGTATTCCTTTATTCCCTCTGCTCAGCTTGGCAACACCCAGACTCTGACAGAGCTGGAACTGAAGTGGCAGCACTGGCACGAGGAATGTCAACGGTATCTACAGGATGGAACTTTTGCTTCCAATCCCCACATGGAGTCCATCTGCAAGGTGTGTTTTTGCTGAGAACAGAGGAAACTTTGGACTTAAGTATTGAATCTATCCTTGTGGATTTCAGGAACCCAGTGTAGCCATAAGTAACTTTAATATGTCTCTTGTCCTCTGTTGATGGTTTGCCAGCCTGGGTAGTTGGGTTTCTCTCCCTGTCCAAGGTCCTAAGGCTGATTTGGAAACTGAGCTGTGAGAAAGATTTTTGTTACGTAATTTTGAATAAATCCTCACCTTTGCAGAACAAGAGTAATGCCTCTGGAGAGCTGGAGTGCAGCTGTGCCCATCACTGAGTGTGCAGCATTCCTGCTGTGTTTTTGTCCCATTAGATCCTGCTGGGAGATGAGGATGCCATTTTGGAGAAGAAGGAGCTCATGACCACCTGGTATCACTTCCTCGTCACCCGGCTCCTGTATTCCCACCCGACAGTGAAGCCGATGGAGCTGCGTTTCTATGCACAGGTAGGAAATAAAATATTCTAATATTCTCCACTGTTTCAGGCACAAAAAGAAAGAAAAACTTACTACACTGAAAGAAAAACATAGGGGAAAGTCTTACAGCAACTAGATGCCTGTAAGATGTTATCTGGAGTTTGTAAAAGGACTGGGAGAGTGATAAAGCTGACAAATAATTGTTGAAGACCCATTTTTCAATGGGTCACTTCTCAGTGTCATAACATTGCCAGTCTTGTTCCTGCAAATTGTTTTCCCAGTCCCCTATGCTAAAATGAGGAAAATTCCTTTTTGTTAATGTGTTCAACCTCTATGACCTCTTATTTCCTATAAAATAACTGCTACATCCAAACAATGTCTTGCTTCTGCATTTATGTCTTGTCATCTCATTCCACAGTCTAGTATGGACCTCTTCCTGGGTGGAGAGAGCAGCCCTGAGCCTCTAGACATGATTTTAATGGCAGCCTTTGAATTTGAGATGCATCAAGTGATCAAGGAATGCAGGTTGAGTTTTAAGGGTTTTTTTAAGGGATTCTCTAGTTCTACAGTATTCCTTCTGTGAATTTGGGGCGGGGGTATGGGTACAGAGCCCTGATCATCCTTGCAAAGAATTTCGCAAAAATACGTGAAGCTGGCAGCAATTAAAAGTATTCCATTAGGTCTGGGACATTGCAGCCAGACCTTGGACTGTAACAGAGCTGTGTATTGGTAAGAAATGCCTGTGGAAAACCTGACACAGTCCCTGGCAGTGTTAGGCTTAGTTTTTTCTTTTGCTTCAAACACAGCATTGTCCTGAGCAACTGGTGGTTTGTGGCTCATCTGACTGACCTGTTGGATCACTGCAAACTCCTGCAGTCTCATAATCTCTAGTAAGTATTTATTTGCATTATTTGAATAAAGCTGATTAAGATAACCCAGAGAGGAAAAAACAAAACCAAAAGAAAACATGCTGCAGAAATTTTGTGTAAATTGACAGTACTTGTGAAATAAAGTAATCACATTTTTCCAGTGAGATGCAAATAATAATACCTGAATATTTACTCTGTTTCCCTCCAGTTTTGGTTCAAATATGCGTGAATTCCTTCTGCTGGAGTATGCCTCAGGACTCTTCTCCCATCACAGGTATCACCTTTTGTTTTATTACTTATAAGACAGACTTAGACTGAGGCAGCCAAAACAAATAACTGCATGTTCATGAAGTAAAAGGGCAAAACTTAGAGCAGCCACTGTTAGAATTTCAGCAGAGGTGTCCCTCAGGGTTTGTACAAGATTGGCCCATTTCCCTTCCTAAATGGAGACAAAAGCTGTCTGTTAGAACTCTTCACACCCCATGACCTGGGCACAGCCACTCCTGCCACCTTGCAGAGTGCCTTGCACTGAAGCTCTTACCAAAGCTGCACATATTCCAAAGTTGTGGCATTCCAAAGTTATGCTACAGGGGACTGGCATGAGGTAGAATGGAAAAGCCATTTCAGGACTGAATGCTAAGTTAATCACAGCTAACAGTTATTAATGCAGGCTCAGATTCTCCTTGGGGCTCTACTGTTGTGCTCATTGAAGATTCCTAGGGTTGGAATGGTAGTGATTTCTCCCCTCTCTCAGCCTGTGGCAGCTGGGGGTGGATTACTTGGATCACTGCCCAGAGTTCGGCCGGGTGTACCTGGAGCTGCACATCGAGCGCATCCCCCTCAGCACGGAGCAGAAGGCCCTCAAGGTGCTGAGGATCTGTGAGCAGAGGCAGATGCATGAACAAGGTGGTGCATTTTCAGTCTCACTGTTTCTCAGTGCTCCAGCTGAACCCACTGACACTAATTCCTGCCCTCCTTTGTGTGCTCCCCCAGTGCGCAGCATCTGTAAGATCATGGCCATGAAGGCTCTGCGGAACAACCGCCTGGGCTCGGCCCTGTCCTGGAGCATCCGGGCCAAGGACGCGGCCTTTGCCACCCTCATCTCAGACCGGTGAGGCTGAGCAGCAGCTCCTGGCCTGGGGGGACAGGGGGAGGGTGGCTGCTGGGTCAGGGGCCAGGAAAGCTCCCACTGCTGCAGGTGGGGCCAGGCACCTTCTTCTGGACCAGAAAACAACACCCTTGGGTGCTGTCCCCTGCAGTACCCCCAGCTGTGCCTTCCCTGTGTTGTTTTCCTTCCTGACATCTAGAGACAAAACAGATTGATTTTATATGAGAGTCCAACCCCCTTAGACCTTACTTGGATAAACATTTCTTTCAACAGCTTCTGTCGTCTACCCTTCACTTGCTGTGACAGAGCTGTTTGATGGGCCAGACAGTGACCCAGGGGGCTGATTTGGGTGGAGTACAGTCCTTACCTGTGCTTTATTCAGCAGATTACTTATAATCAAGTTCACCTCACCTCCAAACAAGCCAGTAGGAGTCACTTAAGCTACATTTCTACTAAAAATCTCATTGTTTCTACTAAAAATTTGTATCAATGAGTGTCCCTGGCTTTGTTTGAGCCTCTCAAAATTCCTGACCTTTTCTGGAGTGGGAGGGTTGTTATCAAAGTGAGGACAATACTGACACTTGGCTCAGGCCTCAGCAAAAGCTCTGGCAACTCTTTGTGCTTTGTTATCTCTAACAATCCATGTCGTGTGGGTTTTGCTCATTGGAAATAGGCAGAGACCAGTCCCTGCATAGTTAGAGTATAATTTTGAAATTACACTCTGGGTAGGTGGCCAGACAACACTCTGTCTTCAACACTGACAAAATGAGTGGTAAGAGATTGCTAATCTGAGGTTTGGGGGGTTTTTTGTTTGTTATTTGAGGGAGTGGGAATCATTACATTTCCTTCAAAAGAAGGATAAAAAAAAATCACAGGAAGCAGCTCTGCAGAAAGCAGCATAATGGAGGCTGTAGCAAAACAGATGAAAAACTTTTAGCATTGTTTTTGTTCCTGCTGTTTATCAACTTTTTTTACACAGCAGAAAAACAGAGCTTTTGTTATCATCTGAGAGTGTTAGTTTTGCATCCACCAGCCTCAGCTTCCTGCCTGTCTTCCTTCATTTACTCCTTTTAAAAAATGGATCTCAACTACCACAGAATGCAGAAGAATCAATGAAGTGTCTGTTAAGTGTACATTACACCAGTTCCTTGGCCACTTCCAGAAACTTCTGAATCCCTTGGGGAGGTTGATTAAGATGGAACTGAGCTGTCCAGTCAATTTTTCTGGGAGGGGATTAGCAGGCACAGAATGGATGTGGATGATGTCCTCCCCTCTAAGCTTTTATTATGTTCCACTTTCTCCCCAGATTCCTTAAGGACTATTGTGAAAAGGGGTGTTTCTCTGACCTGGACCTCATTGACAATCTGGGCCCGTCCATGCTGCTCAGTGACCGGCTCACATTCCTTGGTGAGAGCTGCCTACAGTGTCCATGCTGCTCTGCTGTGGAGAACTCCATGGGATTACTTGGATTTATGCTTTCTTCCATCTGGCTGGCTCCTGGTTTAGTGATGAGGGGAAAGCAAATGGTGAATGTGGTTTGGGATGCAGCTTGTACACCAGGGGTGGCCTTTACCACTGCCTTCACACCAGGTCCCTGCTCTGCTCTGAGCAGGACAGGCCCAAGTCTTTTTCCAGACTGTATCACTACCTTGAGAGGCTCTGAAATACTAACAAATGCTGCCTTAGGGGGTTCATTGGAAGAGTAATCCACTGGTTTCAGTTATGTTTACCTTGTTATAATTTTACCAAGGTCTCCAGAGTCTCCAGTGTGTGGGTTCAGTGTGCCAGTCAAGCTCACTGGAACAAGAGCCCTCCCTGCCCTCTCACTGAGCACTTGTGCCAAGAGACAGTGAGGGCCTCCAGCTCATTTCCTTCAGGTACCACAGCTTCCTTCTCCTGCCTGGCACAAGGCAGGCTGTGGTAACCTGCCCCTCTGCCTGCAGCTGCTCTGTGGCCTTTGATTCAGGGACCAAACCAGGAAATTGATTTCTCCGATGCTGTGAGTAGGCCAGAATCTGATAGGAATTTGGAATAGCTTTCAGCATTGGACTGACTCCCCTCTACCTGATACCAGCCTTACAGGGAGGGTGAGCATGAGCTTTATCTGTTTCCACTTGGTCCAGCTTGCAAAACTGGAACTGATTTTCCTTCATTAAAGCTGATCCTGAACTAGGTCTAGAAGCTAAACATGACTTATCAAATTGGTAATCCCTCAGCTCTGCATGCCCAGCATCATCTGCTAACTGGCAGCCCCAGAGAAGCCTTTTCCCTTTCTGCTCTTTCTAAACAATCCTGAAAGGCCTGAAAATATTTCTGCCTATTTTTCCCTTAAGGTTTTTAGAACCTTTGGTTACCTTTGCTGGACAACTTCCCCCTGTCTCTGCCTTGAGCTCAAGCATTAGTCAAGGTGAATCTGAATGGGAATCATTAACTTCCAGTATTGTGACAGTTTAGTGGATACAGAACGAGCCCCACTTCCATCCTCAGCCACTTCTGTCAAGCTGGATATTGATCTCACTAATTCTTAGCAAATGCAGAACTTTCCCTATTGACAGAGATTCCAGTTTCCATTTAAACAACCAAGGAAGACGGTGCAGCTTTTCAGACCTCCTGGTACTCTGTGACCTCAAAAAGGATATTTTCTCTGCTCTAAGCCACTGGTTCATTGCTCCCCTGCAGACACTCAGCCTGGGGCAGCAGCAGCCCTGACCAGTCTGATGCAAACCCTGAAGCTCACCCAGAACAGCAGCAGAGTGTGGCTGCCCTTTTAGGGAGGCTCTGTTGTCACCTTCCTTCATGCACCAGATTCCCAACCCAGAGGGGCTGCTTTGGGCTCATTTTGGCTGGGGGTGGTTCTTTGTGGGAGCAGAGGGATCTCCCAAGGCCCAGCTGCTGATGCCTCCTTTCTGCCACCCTGTGGCAGGGAAGTACCGGGAGTTCCACCGGCTCTACGGCGAGAAGCGGTTCGCGGAGGCGGCGCGGCTGCTGCTGACGCTGATGACGGCTCACATCGCTCCCTGCTCCTTCTGGATGACGCTGCTCACGGATGCGCTCCCGCTGCTGGAGCAGAAGGAGGTCAGGTCCTGCTCACACTGACACAGCCCCCAAGGGGGCCTCTTCTGTTTTCCTGACAAGGGAACTCAAAGTGGTGACCCTCCTTTCCCTACTCCTGCCAGGACCTGTCCATGGCAGTGCCAAGTGTCCCAGCAGTGGGAACATACAGGGACCCAGGAAGGGATAAATTGACTCTTTACTTTGGTTCCCTGCTGTTAAAACAGCAGTGGAATTCATCTGCTCTGGTAATTTTAGCACACTCCGTGTTCAGCTCCTTTGGGTACTTGGCTTGAAGGTTGTTCCAGTGCTTCTAAGCACAGTTTTTCCTTCAAGATCCATCAAGAAAAGAATAATTCAGCAATTACAGACCCAGAGCAGTCACTTTGACTTCATAGCTGACCCCGCTTGGTGCAGGAGGTGGCACTAGAGACCTCCCAAAGTCACATCCAGCCTGAATTATCCTTGGATCTGTGATTTCAGGGGTCAGAATGGAGCTGTGGGAGTGTAAAAGCATTCTCTTCAACTGCACTATCTTCTCAGCCTGTGTGATGTCTCTAAATTTAATCTTCTTCAGTAAAAACTTTGATTTCCACAGGTCATATTTTCAGCAGAGCAGACTTATGAGTTGATGCGATGCCTGGAAGACCTGACAGCAGGGAATCCAGACAAGCAGAAATTCCAGGTAACCCTGTTCAGTTCTGAGGACAATTGGATAATGAAGCAAGGAGGGCCGTGGGAAGGGTCAGGGAGGGAAACTTTGCATTTATATTTCCTGGTGAGGTCATAAGAGAGGCACAGCCTAAGTCCCAGAGGCTGGCACAGTGGGTTCAGGGCAGTCAAATGAAGCATCAACAAGAGACTGTCACGAACCCAGTGCAGTAATGTTCCTACTCCTCATGTTCTGATGGTTTGCACTGGACCGTGATGCTTTTCCAAGATAAATAATTACACATTACGTGAGCAATGAAGAGCTGAGGTGTTGCCATCCAGCAGCTCTGGCTCTGAGCATTCCAGGCACAGAACAGGGAACTATTTGCTGCACATGCAAAGCCCTGTAGCATCCAGGGAATGAAAAGGCTTGGCAGTGCTGTCTTGGGTTGAGCTATGCAGGTTTTGCTCTGCTCAGGAGGTCCCTGTAACAGGTAAATACCTCTCACTGACCTGCATCTTCAATTTCCCAACCCTGAGACAGACCATGGCACCAGCTCATCGCTGTGTGCAGTCCCCTACCCCAGGCTCTGCTCCCTTGCAGGATGATGATGTTGAGACAACCAAAGTGGAAATGCTGAGACTCGCCCTTGCACGGAACCTCGCACGAGTCATCGTCAAAGAAGGCACCGTGGAAGGATCTTGAAGACTGCAGGGTGTTCCTCCTCCTCTGGGGCTTGCTGTACATAAACTGACTTTTTCTAAGAATAAATGTTTTGTTTTGCAGATTGCTAGGTCATTTGTTCTTGTCTTCCAAAAACAACTTTACATAAGTTTTTTTTTAACCTTTTATGAAGGACCTGCATCAAAATGTTACAGCTGCTTGTTCCAGCTTGGTCTGGTGAAGTGAGCCTTACTACAGCTTTTCCTTGGGTTTTATGTTGTCTTTGCCTATAACACCCAAAACTGAAATGAAGGCCACCTCTTAAAGCAGCAGGGTTTTAGAAATGGCAACCTCTCTATTTTTGCTTAGGAAGGTCTTGAGTTGATTGAGTCTGAGGCTTTCCAGAAGCAGCACGGCACTGTAGAAGCTGTCACGAGAAAGGGCCAGCACAGAGCCAGATAGGGAAAATGATTTATTCAACATGCAGCAGCACAAATGCATTGGAGATGTATGTACAGGTAGGACTGCTGGGGATGAAGCAGGAACCTCACCCTACAGACAAGGAACATTCATGGTTTAATTTCCGAAGCAGCAGGACTGTGGTGCGTGTCCATGTCTGGGTGGCTGCTGCTGCTGAAAGCACCTGTGCTCTCCTGCCTTCCTCCAAGTCACAGTGAGATCCACATGCAGGGAAGCAGTGACCCTGCTCCTCAGGACACACCACCCAGGCACTGCCCCCATGCCTACTGTGTCTAAAGTGCTGGCAAGAACATGTCTGAGGCAGAAAGAATTCTCTCCTTGTCCATTATCTCCCAGTCCATCAATTTAAAACAACTTTCTTTAGCATCCAAACAACCCATCCCTCTCCCCTGGCTTCTGCATCAGGGAGCTGACAAGGCTGAGATCTCCACAGGCTTCAGACCAGGACAAGCCTGAATTCCACCTTCAGGGGTTCCTGCATCTGCCTGGTGCCTCTGATGAGGGCCTGAGGCTTGTGAATCCCATTTTTTAATTTATAGGGATTTTTACTCTGCAGCATAGGAAAGAAAATTCAACTATGAATAACTGCAAGCTGTGTTTGCAGCAATGGTTTTACAGCCACCATTCATTCCAGCATGTTCTGTGGAGTTTTCCTACATGAGGTAGGAGCCCCTGTACTGCTTTTCTCTGTGCTGCTCCCACTCCACGTTTGCAAAGAGCTGTTCCTTGACAGCCCTGCTGGAAATGCAGAACTGAGTGTCCAAGGACTGAGCAGGCACCTCTCTGTGTTTATGTCAATAGGTGTTAAAAACCCCCATTAATTTACAACAGTCTGTCAGGGCTCACTGAGGCACTGCTTGAGACTGGAAACTGAGAAGAAAGAAGGGGCTGCTGACACCAAGTTTTGGTGATTTAAACCTTATTTCTAGGAGTTTGTAGCTAAGGGATCAGCTCTTCTGTTAGCACTGATGTCCAGCAAAACTGTTTTCCCCTTTGTGGGGACAATTGCACTTTGCCACTTAATACAGGGAACAAAGAAAATAGGGCATTAACCCAGCACATGCCCCATCACAGCCCAGGGGAGCCTCTTCCTTTTCTCTGCCTGCTTGTTCTGTTTTAATACTCTACGGCTCTATTATTTACATCTTGTAGGTCATTGTACTCAGCTCAATAAAACACAGTATTTGACTATACCCTTAACACTGCCTGCATGAGGAGACATGAGAGGCATCTCTCCTTATCCCTGGATTCAGTCACTTGCTCTGACTAGTGATTGTAAAGACAGTTCTGTGTTCCAGGTGCTGTCCTCCAATACTGACCAAGACCCTCCAGCCCTCTTTTCTCCTCACTATGCATTTCCTCTTTTCCCCACACTATGGAATGCAATGAAGGCAAAAAAATAACCAGTGTAACCATTTGCAGACAAAACTCAGCACCAGCTGCCCCAAATGGATGCCCCAAGGCGGCAGCCAGCAGCGTAAAATAAATATAAAAAGTAAAGATACAGCAGTATGGCACACACGGAGCGAGGGGCTGCTTACACGGGCCCTTGGGAATGAAGCAGGAGAGGGGGAAGGGAGCTAAGTGCTATTTCAGTGTAAAAAAGGAAGCATTCCCTCATGGAGCAGCATTATTACTCAGCATGCTCATGGGCCCATGTGGCACAAGGAGGTCACAGGCCCAGGGAGGGTCTGTCAGGGCTCTGCGCTGAGCTCGCGGCATCATCACCCCACAGCCTGTCGGGATCTCTGGACAGCAGTGCAGGAAAAGCCAACTAAATCTCCTTCTGCTGACAGGTCTTCCCTCAAAATACAGTAACTTCAAGTTTAATAGAGTGGAAGATAGAACCAGATTCACCCAGAGGTCAAAGTAAAAGCAGCCAGCACTGCCTGTTGCTGGCTGCCTCTCAGTTCATGCTTGGCATAAGTGTTCCAGGGCCCCTTCAAATGTGGGGCACAACATTCTGGACTAAAGCTACAAGCAGAGTGGTCAGGACATGTAAACAAAGCTGAACATCACCAGTGGATAGCATGTGTGTCCCTCCCCACGGCACATCCATTCCAGTCCTGTGGGATCCTGCCCTGGTCCTGTCAGAGTCTCTGGCAGTGTCCTAAGGTCATAGATTCCCCCATTGCTCTACTGGGGGAAACTGATCCACTTCGCCCACTTCTGTGCTGGGCTGATCTCCCAGGGTGAAGGTCAGTCTGTACCTCAGCCTCACCTTCTCCTGCAGGAAAGACAAAACCCGAAAGCAACGTGAGAACAGTCCCAGCTCAACAGCCCTGAACAAAACACTTCACTGTTACAGCTCTACAGAGAGCACAAGACTTCTGTTGTACAGAGCAGGGGCAGGAGGGTTCAGGTTAAGTTCATTGAGTTCAGCTATTTACAAACCTGAGTTATTCACCTTACACTTTCCATACCAAAAAACTTTTACTGCTTAGCATGGAGCAGACCAAGAAAAGCATGAATGACCTGTGAGCAGATTGCACAGACGTGGCCAGTTGCTACACTGCTCTAGGAGACTGCTGCTGGAAAAGTTCCAAAATTTACATTCCTCATCATGTGGAGGAAGATAAAACAGTTCCTGCTCTGAAAAATGTCTTGCAATACAGTAAGCATGAGATGGAAGCAGCCCTTCAATCAAACCACAAAGTTTTTTGAACAACCACTAAACCCCTCTGACATTCATCCTTTTATCTCAGAGATTTCAGCTGATACTTGAAGGGCACTTTCATTGTAATTCTCAAGTATAAACATTTAAATTTGTCAAAGAATTAGAAAGTCTTCAGTTTTGTGCTTTCAGAGCTGGCTGACTGAATGAGTGACTACAGCAAGGAAAAACATCTTCTCAGATGCCCTTACCATCATCATCAGAAAGGGAAGTGTCAACCCCATTGTGCCCCTGGTCACAGAGAATGATGGAACAGACGAAATCTGACATTTGCCTGCTGGTTCATCAAAAGTACGGCTACAGCACCAGTCAATTTAGCATTGATCTAATTATCAGCAAAGCCAGGCACCTTCAATGCACAGGAGAGTCCAATTCCTGATGCAGCTTTGCTTCCCTTTAAAGCTGAGCCTGACATGATCCTTGCCCTTTGACTGGAAGAAGTACACTGCCCCTTCTCATACCTCTCCCTGCCAAAGACTGTTGGAAAGAGCCTCCTCTAGTCCTGAACTGAAATACCAACATTCCATAGTAACCACTTCTGGAGGGCACATTAGAATCACAGATAATTAAGGTTGGAAAAGACCTCCAAGATCATCAAGTCCAAACTTTTAGGAACAAACAGCTGTAGCTGCTCAAATGTTTGGTCCCACCCCTCCACAGAGTTCAGCTGATATCAAACATGTCTGAAGAGGGCAGGATAAATCCCACTGCCCCTCTCACCTTCGCAGGATTTGCCAGAAGCATGACCTGGGTGATGGCAGCTGGTGGCTGGATGGGATTGAACGGAGACAGCTCAGTGCCAGAGGGTGGCTGTAGCTTCACCTTCATGGACTGCAAATGAAATAGAGAGCAGAACCTCAGGGATGATCTCCTGCCTTGGGGACAATGAACAGGCTGGGGGGACAACAGCCCATATCCAAATGGAAGAGAATCAAACCACAAGTGAGAATGAGGGAACAAGAGCCAGCCCAGCTTGCAAAACACAATAGGAACAGGCAGATCTTGACTTATCCTGCTGTGTTTTCTGCCTCTGACAAGAACCTTTGTGTTCTGGAAAGAGCACTGTGGAAACCCAGGGCACCAGGAATATTCCTCTGTCTGCCCTGACCCCCAGGGGAGCACTGACTTTGACCCTCATTCATGGAGAAAGTTTCCCAGACTTCAAGATAAACTAGAATCCACAAAAGTGTGAAATATATTATAGAGAGTAGTGTAGGTGTATCACTTGGTGATAAATTTAGGTTTGGGGATTTTTAGTATGTTGTGGATGGAAGCAAGATGGCACAGGGTGTCATCCTGGGTTTCTTCTTCATGCTTCTTCTTCCTTCTTCTCCATGGGTTTGGGTGGCATTTTGTAATTGGGCAGAAAAATCCTCATTGTGGGCTCTGTGGGATCAGTTATTGGGTTAAAAGGGAAAATAATCTAGGAGTCAATTCTTAATTGGATAGTTTAGTCTTAAAAGACCTTGTACCAAGAGACTGTTGGCCATCTTGTGCCTTCTAATGAAAAGCTGCTGAACTCACAGTAATGAGACTATTTTACTGATAAGAAATAATAAACACTTGAGTCTGAACATGAATTACTGTGTCAAGTGCCTTCAGTCCAGACCCAGACAAACCAACAACTAGTACCCCCAAAAGCACAGCCTGTGGAAAGGTCAGACCAGGCTGTCCCAAGCCTCTGAGTCCACGGCCAGGCCACCCTGGCTGCAGTCTCTGTGCCACGTGTCCCTACCTTGGGCACGGCCGCCTGCAGCACGATGTTCCTGACGGGCAGCGGCGCCGTGTTCAGCATGGACACCACCACCACCAGCACGTCCGAGCGCCCCGGGGGGCACTCCCGGGCAAAGTGCAGCAGGATCCGGAACCCGTTCTTGTCATAGGCTGTCACGGGCAGGGCACTGCCTGCCACAGGGAGAGAAGGGAGAGGATCCAGGTTTGTGTGCAGCACGTGGTCTGAAGCAGCACCA